AAGGAAAAATCATTCTGCTCTCATTTCTGTTGCGGCTTTACTCCAAACAAAATTGAAAAACTCAATGAATAAACAGCAAGGACTAACTTATTTTTAGTGATCAACCTGTTACTGCTCATCAAATCTGATCATTTTGAGTGCCCTCTTGTTTTGTTTCAGACTCAGAAATCTCTGGTGTCAGTAAAATAGTTCCATTGCACTTGGACTGATTTGCCAAGTGTTTTGAGGGAAGGACCATCTCAAGATAAGTTGTATTCAGCCTAATTTCCCATTTCCCAAATTGAATCTCCGTATCCCTTCTGCTCAGCACCATGAACCTTTGTAAAAGTCAAGGTTTTAAAAACCTCGTAAGTTCATTTGGAAAATGAATTAATGAAGAAATCTGGTAATTCTTTATATTATCCTGAGAAGCAGCATATAGGGACTGTAAACAAGGACTCTGGAATATGTACAAGAATATTTGTTGCCATAACATATTTAGCAATAAATTTAACATTGAACAAATCTCAAATGTCTATCTATCAAATTAGCTTATCTCCATACAATCAAAAACTATGCAGCTATCAGAAATGATAATGAAGACTTATATTCTTGGGGGAAGAAAAGATTATAAAACAGCATATAAATTGTCATCACATTTTTGTTAAAACCAAAAAGATGACAGACATTTTTAGCTTTCTTTTCCTTATTTCTGTATTTTCTAACTTTGAAAAACAAGTCTATGTTATATTAGAAATGGCAGGATGCTAATTTTCATTTTGAAAAAATCCCTCAAAAGAATTGAGAAGGGAAAAGGTGTTAAAATTGTATCCCCAAAATATGTTTGATTGTATTTTAAAGCTCCACAAGAAGATATGAACAAAATAAGGAACACATTACCTCACTACCACATGGAATGTCAAATTTCAAAACTATGTTGTCTTTTTCTTAAAACTAATGAGCCTTATTTAGTAAAGTCTAATGTGTCTTGTCTTGGGAAGTTGGTTGTTCAGGCAACTGGATACATGTGATGTGCTGGAAAGCTATTAAATGAAAGAAATGAAGGAGGTTAAAGTTACTGTACCATTTTAAAAGATTGCTAGTTCCATCTGGCTTGGTGGTGATGGACTGTTATACATACAGTGTGGTAGTGTTTTTATTTGGATTAAATGTGAGAACTCTAAAAGTATCTTACATAGTAAAAAGCCCTAATCATCCTGATCCTGATCATTTTCCAAGCATCTCAGAGTACAACAGAATAATCATTGGAAAATAGTTACCTGCCTCTCACTCCCATGAGCCAAATCAGTATATGAGATACGGAGAATTTGAGGAAATGGGGACATTTAGGTGTTGCATAAACATTAAAGCAATTAATCATTAGATCAGTCTACATCATTTACTAACCAGGAAGTCTATTACTGGACCTCGGTGATAATGGCCAATAATGAGTTTTCAACCAGAACAGATAATAATTCCCTGATTTAACTAAGCCTAAATGTAGAAAAAGATGCATAGTTCCTTAAGTAATCCTAATGGAAATGAATAATAGACTGTTAAACACAATGTAAATAAAATGGAATGCCTCCTTTGTCCTTAACCCTTGGATGACCTGAAGAGTCATTAGTGTAAGCTATCTTGATGCTAATCCAAAACTCTTCCCAAAGTAGGTTCACGGTAGATCACATCACATACTATGTTCTACATGGAGAGAATATTCTATACAACAATTTCCCAAACATTGCTGTTATATAGTTTAATTTGTTCTGCATTTTAGTTATTGAGTTCTTCATCCCAACTTTATTATTTTATTCTTTTATACAAACAATTCTCTTTTCTATAAGCTGTTTCCCAGAAGTTTATAATTCAGGAAAAAGCTGACAAATACTGAATTGTGTTAATGATCATGGAGAAGTAAACTGTGAATAGAAGAGATGCCATCCATTAAAAGTAATGTGACTTGATAACCTCATGTTGAGACTGTCAAAGGTGTTGGAGTCACCTTAGGTATTGATGACACTAGATATGAATGACAGTATCTTCAAAACCTTTAATTGAAGGTATTTTGTGGACAAAAACGTCACATCAGTCAACACAAGACAGTTAACTGGTATAGCCTCTGTCCTTTCTCTCTATGAAGTAATCCTTACTATAGTTCTTCCCTCATTACTCCCAAATCACCCAGGGTTTTATCGTATCCTCAAATCTCAAAGGCATTTTGTACAGTGGGCTTCACAATGAAAGTTAATGATACAGTTAATTGTGATTGGCTTTCTCCAAAGATAGAACATAAGTTTGTCCATAAAAGATACAGTCCCTAAAGGTTACAAGAAGTCATAGGATACAAGAGCACTTTAGAATAGGAAAAAGGCGGGACGCCTGGGTGGCTCAGTCGGTTAGGTGTCTGCCTTCACCTCAGGTATGGTCCCAGGGTCCTGGGATTGAGTCCTGCATCGGGCTCCCTGCTCAGCGGGGAGTCCGCTTCTCCCTCTGCCACTCCTTCTGCTTATGTGAGCTCTGACAAATAAAATCTTAAAAAAAAAAAAAAAATAGAACAGGAAAAAGGCAAAAATACTTCAGTTACAAAGTAGGTCATCTAGTAGTTTAAGTTTTACAATAAAGTCCTTACAAAACGTGAATTTGGACAGTGGGAGAAATGGTTTCTAATGTTGGAAATGATATATGTACATAGGCATAACTCTAAGCTTTCTGTTTATTTTTTTTTTTTAAGATTTACTTTTTTTTTTTTTTAAAGATTTTATTTATTTATTTGAGAGAGAGAATGAGAGACAGAGAGCACGAGAGGGAAGAGGGCAGAGGGGGAAGCAGACCCCCCACTGAGCAGGGAGCCCGATGCGGGACTCGATCCCGGGACTCCAGGATCATGACCTGAGCCGAAGGCAGTCGCTTAACCAACTGAGCCACCCAGGCGCCCCTAAGATTTACTTATTTTAAAAAGAGCACATGTGAGAGCAGGGCAGTGGGGGCAGAAGGAGGGAGAGAGAGAATCCCAAGCAGACTCCCCACTGAGCAGGGAGCCCTACACAGGGCTGATCTCACAACCCTGAGATCATGACCTGAGTGGAAATCAAGAGTTGGATGCTCAGCTGACTGAACCACCCATGTGCCCTCCTGTTTATTTTTTCTTAACATTTGTATAAATTTTAATCATATACATACACAAAGCTGTATGATATTTTTATTTATTTATTTATTTATTTATTTATTTAGATGTAGTGTTCCATGATTCATTGTTTACGTATAACACCCAGTGCTCCATTAAATATGTGCCCTCTTTAATACCCATCACCAGGCTAACCTATCCCCCCACCCCCCCCAGAACCCTCAGTTTGTTTCTCATACACATGGAACACTGAGATGGTTAAGGTGTTTAACTCATTAGCAGTAGATTTTAATCTTAAAAGGGAAAGAATAAGTAAAAGTTCTGTTCAGACATTTTTCTAGTGGCATTCATACAAAAATTTTTTTTTTAAAGATTTTATTTATTTGACAGAGAGAGACACAGTGAGAGAGGGAACACAAGCAGGGGGAGTGGGAGAGGGAGAAGCAGACTTCCCGCTGAGCAGGGAGCCCGATGCGGGGCTTGATCCCAGGACTCCGGGACCACGACCCGAGCCGAAGGCAGACGCCCAACGACGGAGCCAACCAGGCACCCCTCATACAAAATTATTGTAACATAATGGATTGCATGATACTGAAACTCATATATATGCTATTGAACCTAATTCTTAGTATATTCCATAGATGATGGAGCAGTATTTATTATCTTTCTGTGCTCAGAAAGGAACTTTGAAAGTGGGCCCATTCATACCATCACAAGTCTATAAGCTAATCACTAAAGCCTGATGAGGATCCCTTAAATTAAAAAATATATAATTAGTCTTTAGAGGTTGCCCAGACTCGAGTTCCCAAACCCAACAGATCATCAAAAACAGACTTCTTGGACCACATCCCATGCATTCCAGACCAGACAGAGGAAAGGAATCTTTTTTAATACAACCTAGCTTTGTAACTACAGGCAGGTTACTAGCCCCAATTTCTCTATGTAAACTGGGTAGAGAGTAAACCCTGTAGGGTAGAGTCTGCGGGAAGCCTGCTCCCTCTCCCACTCCCCCTGCTTGTGTTCCCTCTCTCGCTGTGTCTCTCTCTGTCAAATAAATAAATAAAATCTTTAGGGAAAAAAAAAAAAAGTAATAAGTGTAAACACTAAAATCCTTTGCTTCAGGACATAAATAGAAATGGCATTAATTCATCCTAACTCAGAGTGCATGCCAGTATTCACCTGTTACAACTGGAATCCATGCATGACTGTCCCAATCTCAGTTGAAACACCATCACTTACATGCCAGAATGCAGAATCTCAATTCTTATTGCATATTTAAGGATTACCATTTGATTCTTCTGTTAAAATTCTGACTAAATGTATTTTTTAAATTAATTTTACTGTGTGGGGCGCCTGGGTGGCTCAGTCGTTAAGCGTCTGCCTTCGGCTCAGGTCATGATCCCAGGGTCCTGGGATCGAGGCCCGCATCGGGCTCCCTGCTCAGTGGGAAGCCTGCTTCTCCCTCTCTCACTCCCCCTGCTTGTGTTCCTTCTCTCACTGTGTCTGTCTCTATCAAATAAATAAAATCTTTGGAAAAAAAAAAATTAATTTTACTGTGGCTCAGAGAATATATAATTAATTATATAAAGAAAATGATATCTATGCATGAGCATTTCCAAAGATTTATATAGCTTTTCTAGGAGGTGATGTGGCCCCTTTAACAATCTTTAAGTAAAGGTTTGTATTGCTTTATAAGTTTCTGAAGCCTGACTTCCTGCTGTCCCTTTGAGCCTACAACATATCCTTTTTTGTTAATGAATATCACACTGTATTGCACCCAAAAATGTTTAATAGTCAGGTTTTATTAGAGTGCAATATTCTCCTTGTGGCAGTTCATAGTTGTAACTTGAGGGAGTTGTTTTGTTCTTACCTTCTTTACCTGTTGGCCTTTTCCTAGGTGCACTGTTGCTGAAGTACTATGAGCTTTCAGAACTTCTGGAGAAACTACAAAGTTCTGATTGTTATGGTACCTTTAGTTGGGTTCATACATTTGGGATGGCATAGAATCAAGAGCAGCCCTGTTTTCCAAATGCCTAATAAGGACAATGTTTCTGCACCAGATAGTCCAGCACTTGAATGTCCTGAGAAGAATCACATCGAAGGGAAATAGGCTTGGAATCTTCAGGTAAGTTCAGTTTAATCTGGTTAACCAAATGGTATGTTACAACAATGGGAAATAGAATCTTTAAAAAAGTATAGGGGCACCTGGGTGGCTCAGTCGATTAAGCATCTGCCTTCAGCTCAGGTCGTGATCCCAGCATCCTGGGGCTGAGTTCTGCATCAGGCTCCTTGCTCAGCCGGAAGCCTGCTTCTTACTTAGCCTGTTGCTCCCCCTGCTTGTGCTTGCGCACGCTCTCTCTCTCTGACAAATAAATAAATAAATAAAATCTTTTTTAAAAAAATTAAAAATTAGAGCTCTGGCAAGAAAAAGCTGAAGTTGGTAAGTTACCTGTTGTTTTTATTATGACCCACTGACACAATATTATTCTGCAGTTGCTTCTAGAAAAGTTTGTTCTATAGAGACCTTTGACAGCTGCCTCGCAGAGTCATTTGGATGAAAGGAGGATAGTCCATTACTTGTCCAGTCCTTTTCATTAACAATGTCACCAGGATCATGAGTGTGTCCAAAAGAGCAGTTGTCTACCTGCTATAAATCCATCCCAGAGCATACAAATCTATAACTTGCAAAAGTTCTCTCCTTTGTTATTATTGTTCTGTTTCTTTCCAAGGCAAATAAAACTAATTGTATTCCATTTTTAGTATCTTTTTTTAGTATCTAATTTTTTTTAATTTTATTTATTTATTTGAGACAGAGAGCGAGCATAAGCGGGGGAGGTGCAGAGAGAGAATCCTCCAGCAGACTCCCCACTGAGCGAGGAGCCCAATGCAGGGTGCAATCCCAGGACCCCAGAATCATGACCTGAGCTGAAGACAGACGCAACCGACTGAGCCACCCAGGCGCCCCTAGTATCTAATATTTTACTTTCAAAATAATTTGTTACTTTTGAGAGTCACTGAAATAAGAGAATATAGTTACATAATTCAGGATTATAATCCCTTAACTATAATTCCAAAATCCAAAAGTTCCAAAATCCAAAAGATTTTGTCATAACTCCTTTGGTAGCAAAACTTGACCTTAATACACGAGGCAGTTTGCAGTCTATTCCACTCAATATGAGTATTTAGTTTCACTGCAGAAATACTGTTGTGTTTGATTAATGGGTGCTAGACACTATACTATTTTTCTAAAATCCCAGAAATTCTGAATTATGAAACTCATCTGCCCCCAGACAGAGAACTGTGAACCTATAATTGTGGAGCATTTTCTACCTTAATATACCATTTTGACCTTGTGGTGAGTAATAATATGCTTTAAATTTTGGCATAAGGTAGGTCAGTTTAGGGCCTGCTTCTTACAGAAAGAAGACCTCAGTAAGATTCTTCTCATTCTTAAGAGGTCTATGATTTTGATTTATGATAAAATTATAATTTCTTATTACACTATTTTAAATCAAGATTTTATTTTTAAATGCTCTTAAAGAGAAAGGGAAGAGCATGGCTTAAAGTATTAGACAATTATTTAATAATAAAAAGCCAGATAGTAAAATATCAGAACCTTAACGTAAAAGAGTAACCCTAAGACATTCTGTGTAAGATTTGTGTTCATAAAGGGAGTTTTAGTGCACATGAGCAGAGAGTTAAGGAGTTTATTAGATGCTTGATTTTAGCTTTTCTAGACTGTAATGAGATCATTAGAGTGGGTGTGTGTGTGTGTGTGTAGAGAGAGAGAGAGAGAATACATATATAGTGTGATATAGTGTGTGGGTATATTACTTATGACATCATTTTTTTCCTTTAATTCTTCTCATAAGAGTTTGGGGCCCTGCTACAGCCAAACTTTGAAAAAAAAAAAGGAAGTAGTTTCTCCTTCTGTGAAAAGAAATACAAGGAATATTATTGAGGTATTCCTAGAGAAAAAGTAAAGTTGAGAAAAGAAAGCATTTTTCTAAAACACTAAGGTAAAAATAGAGATTTTGGATGTCAGTGCTGCAGTATTTAGAAGTCTTAAGTGACCAACACTGCCAGTCAAGCAAGCAGAAACAGATATTAGAACAACTTTGGGGTGAGCAAATGTTAAAACCAGATTTAGAGTGAGTTAAACACTGATTCTATCAAAAGAATGTACTGTTATTTGTCCCTTATTATTTTTTTAATTTTTACTTTTTTTAAAGCTTTATTTATTTATTTTGGAGAGAGAGGGGGGGTGCAAGCAGGGGGAGAGGGAGACAAGCAGACTCCCTGCTGATCATGGAGCCCAACGCGGGGCTCAATCTCAGGACCCTGAGATCATGGCCTGAGCTGAAATCAAGACAGATGCTTAACCAACTGAGCCACCCCATAATTTTTACTTTTTATTATGGAAAATTGCAAACATACCCCAAAATAAAGAGAGGAGAGTATATTCAACTCTCTAGTATCCATCACCCAGCTTTAACACTTAACAACATTTTGCCCATCTTCTTTTATCTATCCTTCTGTCTCCACCCCCTTTTTGATTACTGCAGTATTTTAAAGCAAATCCCAGGCTTCAATGTGTATTTTTAACATTAAGGATAAATACACACACAATCACAAGTGATTATCACACTGAAAAAACTAATGGTAACTCCTATCATTGGATACCCAGGGCCATGTTCCTATTTCCAAATTTATCTTTTAAAAAAATCTCCTTTAGAGGTGGTTTGTTGGAATTGGAATCCAAACAAGGTCCACACGTTGCATTTTAAAGATATATCTTTTCAACCACTACATTTCCCCTCCCAGTCTGCTGCTTTTTGAATGTCCCACATTCTGAATTTGGTTGATTGAGTCCTTATTTTGTCATTTAACAAGTTTCTTGCTCTCCCATATCTCCTGTAATCTGGTAGTTAGATCAGAAGGCCTGCTTTGATTTACTTTTTTTTCTTCTTGAAAAAGAATACTTCATGTATGTGCTTTGGTATACATCCTAGTGAATCACATTGTTTCACATTTAATGTCTGATCCACTTTCAGTGTTGCTAAGATTTAAGTGCATTATCAGTCTGATCTCTCCATTATAAAATCTGTTATGAAATTTATTTATGATTGGGCACCTGGGTGGTTCAGTCAGTTAAGCGTCTGACTCTTGATTTCTGCTCAGGTCATGATCTCAGGTTTGTGGGATTGAGCCCTGTGACAGGTTCCGTCAGGGACATGGAGCCTGCTTGGGATTCTCTCTCTCTCTCCCTCTCCCTTCACCCCTACACACTCTAAAAAAATTATTTATGATCGTTGTTCTAATCTAGGCATTGGAAACTTTTTTTCTATAAATGACCAGATAGTAAATATTTTAGGCTTTGCAGACCATACAGTCTCTTATTTCAACTACTCAACTTTCTGTTGTAGCACAGAAGCATTCATACATGATACATGAGCATGAGCCAATAAGACTTTATTTACAAAAATAGGTGGTGGGCAAGATGTGGCCCATGGACTGTAATTTGCCAACCACCATGAAGGTCCAATCCATTATTTCCTTAGGGGTTGCAAAATGATGCTGTTCAAATTCTATCATTCCTTCTCCATTTATGAGCTAGAACAACTTCCCCTCATCAGCTATTCAGTTACCCCTCAAAATGCATTTATCAGGAAAAGCAAGAAAACTGCTTTATTTCCTCTATCAGTTTTTATAAAAGTGAGTTAGTGCCCTAATAGCAATGAGGGTTTTTGGGTTTGATGACAATATGAATTCATGAGTTTGCAAATTATTTGAGTTATCTCAAGGTATTACTATCAGTATTCTTTTTAAGACTCAAATTGTACCATCTTGGATGCCCTCCCAAGTTGACTTCTGTGTCTGTTTTTTTCCTGTGCTCTTTGATATGACCCAAGTTTATTTTTTGGCAAAAGAAGTCCTCAGCTCACCTTGTGTATTTCTTGCCTCAGACCTAGAATCAGCCATTTCTCCAAGGAAACCTGGTTCCTTTTAGGAGAAAATTATGGTTTATAGTTTTTAAAATCATAATTTATAGTGTTTGTCTAAACTTAGAATACAGTCATGTAAGTTTTACTAATATTTTAATTAGGTTATCCATTACTGCAAAAGCCCGTCTGCCAGGCCTATGCATCCAGGAAGTCAGAGTCATTCATGTGATGGTAGCCTTTGGAACTGTGGGTCACAGTGTTAGGAAAAAAGAGTCTTAACAGATCTAAACTGGCACTTCCAAACATATTCTGTAAGCCAGCCCAGTGTTTGGTTAATTTCTTTTCTTTCAATTGTACCTTGTTTTGTCCGGATCTATACCCACAAGTTGGCAAGTTTTGACATCCTAAAAATGATTTGGGAGTCACCAACACTTTCAATGATTTCTCCCTTTCTCATTTTATAGAGATACTAACCAAAAGATGTAGTTACTGGTCTCACCACCACAAGACTGTTAGAGGTGCCAACTTAACATTCCACTTTTGAAAAGTTGCATGTCACTGTTAGGTATTGAAAATGCTTTTTTTTTTTTTTTTAACTGGAGAAATCATCTTCTTGATCACAGTTTGTTATGATTTGTGGTTTGTGTGGTTGTGTGCTGTAACATGTAAAATAATGTATGGAAGTCACTTCACTAAGATTTCATTTAAGTGTATGTCACAGATTTTCCTGAATCTAAAATAACCATTGAAATAATATTTAAGTACCTTGGCTGTTCCTGGCATAAGATGAAAGATTTTTTTCCTCGTCCTATAAAAAAAAGATGACTATAGCTTTATTGCAGAGAGAAGACTAGTCATCATTGCCTTCCCTTTATTTGGGCCCAGTTGCCATGGTTACAGTCCTTTAAATGGGGAGGAGTGGTAACCAAAATAACGCTTCGAATAACATTCCCTCCCTCTGTTCACCTCTTCTTTGCACTTCTTCCATCACGTTTTTGGCCTGTATCACACTGTGCCATAGTCTACTTCAGTTAGTACTATGGTCTGGTAGTCCACTTAGTTTTATTTGTGCTGAATACTGTCCAAGTAATTAGCATAATTACCATATCCCTAAAAATAATAATTGGCTGAACCTTCACCTTCAAAGCACCTAACCTCAACAGATAAGGTCCATGACCTAAGATTTTTTATTTTTTCCACACATTACTAAAGTGTCAGGATTTTATGCCCCAAGGCACACTATTTATTTACAACCTTGTTAAGAAAGCTAGTAGGAGAGCACATGTTACATTTTATGGTATTTAGACCTTTTGAGATCGAATTGCAAATCAGATCCTATTTTTCTCTTTGTCAAATAGCATATCCCCTGGTTTTTGTATTTACTGTCATTAACCAAAGTCTTGGAGAGGATTCAGTTGTAGGACATTAAAACTGACAATCGTTGATTGATAGAATAAAACTATAGAAAATTACATTGAAGTTAGCCAAACATTGAAAACATGGTTTATTCTTTGGGACAATGTGCTATGCAGATTTATACAGCTAGAGATGGCCTATACAATACAGAGTGTGTCTATAGTAGGGAGACTGACAGTTCTCTTATTTCATAATTATTTTTAAGCAGGATTTGATGTACACGTATCTTTGTTCAGATCTACACTTTCCAAGTAAACCAAAGTTACAGAAGAAAACATAACATTAAATCTTGATGTAAGAGAATAAAAACATTTGGGATTTTTTTTTTTAAGACTCAGCATTTTATAATGAGTTTTATAATGTAGCATTTCTTTTCTAGAAGCATATCTTATTCAAATAATTGTACTGTAAGCTTTCTAGCTATGTTGTTCTGCATTCCAAAATCATTCAAATATCAGTACTTTTTCTTGGAGGGATTCACTGAAGAAAAAAGGAATGACTGTTTAGTCTGAGTGGATTTACATTTCTCATTTTGTGGAGGCTTGTGCCAGTTGGTAATTCCTTTTCCTAAAGAGGGAGCAGAGCATCAAAATATTAAGCTGCATTCTATTAAATGTTTTAGACTTATTTCTCTAAAATGTTTTTCCTTTATTTCTTATAGAAAGAAGCATCTTAATGAGTCTGAGCTTGATATTGAAAGAAGAGATGAAAAACACCAGCTGGATTAGAAAGAACTGGCTTCTTGTAGCTGGGGTGTCTTTCGTAGGTGTCCATCTTGGAACATACTTTATACAGAAGGCTGCAAAACAATCTATAAAATCTCAACCTAGAGGCAAACAAGAGTACTGAAGAATGAAATAAAAATAAATATTTGGAATTACTAATATGTCACTAAGTCATTACATGCTAGTTATTTTCATAAGCCTGGAGCTATTTAATTTTAAAGCCACAGTGCTGCATATTCAAGACTTTCATTCTTGAAGGATAATTTTTTTCTCTAAATGTCAAGACCCATGACAATGAAATAAATAGAAAAATATGTGTAACAAAATAAAAACTGTCTTCATCACTTGCCACCGGAAGTAAGATGTCTCGTTTAGAAGCTAAAAAGTCGTCATTGTGTAAAAGTGAACCACTGACAAGTGAGAGAGTCAGGGCCACACTTTGTATCTTGAAAGGAGTCCTGACATCCAGCTATGGCCCTTCGGGGAGGCTGAAGCAGGTGCACAACGGTCTTGGAGGCTGTGTGCGCACCACCTCACATTCGTCGGCCCTGCTCTCCAGCCTTCCCGTCACCCACCCCATTTTAAAGATCCTGACGACGTCCATGCAGAATCATGTGTCGTGTTTCAGTGACTGTGGCTTATTCACGGCCATTCTTTGCTGCAATCTGATTGAAAATCTTCAGAGAACAGGCTTGACACCGACCACTGTTATTAAATTAAACCAGCACCTTTTACGCCTCTGCACCAGTTACCTCAAGTCCGAGTCCTGTGGTTGTCGAATTCTAGTTGACTTTAGCAGGCCTCAGACCCTCCTTTGTTTGGTGCGCAGTATAGTAACAAGTAAACCCGCTGGTGTGCTCACCAGAGAGGAAACAGACCACATCAGTGCTTTGGTTCTGAGAGCCTTTTTGCTTACAATTCCAGACAACGCCAAAGACTGCCTCCTTTTAGGGAAGAGTATAATTGTGCCTTTAAAAGGTCAAAGAGTTCTAGATTCTTCTGTATTCCCTGGAATACTTATTGAAATGTCAGAAGTTCAACTGATGAAGATCTTACCTATCAAAAAATCAGATGCCTTCAAGGTGGCACTCTTTTGTGCTTCTTTATCTGGAGATCTCTCTGATACTGGAGAAGGAACTGTGGTGGTCAGTTCCGGGGTCTCTCTTGAAAATGCAGCCCTGGAGCAGTTGCTTAACCTAGGAAGGCAGCTAGTTGGTGATCACGTAGATCTTGTCATGTGCCAAAAAGTTATACACCCATCTTTAAAACAGTTTCTCAGTGTGCACCGTGTAATTGCTGTAGACAGAGTTGGAGTGGCTCTGATGGAACCCCTGAGTAAAGTGACAGGTAAAAAGCACCTTCAGCTTTTGCCCCTTACAGTTAATAATCACACTCTTTTTTTGAGTGGACATTCTTGGTGTGCGTCACTGTTAACATCTTGAAAAATTTTAGAAGCTGCCAACCTTGCAGCATGTGTATCATTTCTGCCAGCAAAGGTGGCTTCTAAGAAACACCCTGTACTGTTCGTTTCCTAAAACTTGAGTGATTATGGCAATTTCTGTGTATTTTCCAGCCCCAGAAAAGACTAGGGTCTATTATAATCTAAAACCATTAACCCCCCAAACATCTTAGAGTACTGAGAAGTTTAACAGCCTCATAATCCTAAGGTGTTTCATACTTTACACAAAATTCTTCTACTTGAGTTTTACAAGTAGAAATCACATTATATTCAGAAGATAATTTTGCAGCTAAAATTTTCTTCACTTCTCTACTTCTTCACTACTGTACTGCCTAAATAGTAATTCCTAATTAGGGGTGGGTAGGTGGGTGAATGTGTGCAGGCACACATGCACGCTACCTTTAAATATCCCAGATATTTCCAGCTGAGCTCCTTGAGAATCAGGATTATCTTTTATATTTAGCACTGACAACAGGCCTGGTCCACAGCAGGTGTTCTAAAATGTTTGTTGAACTGACTAATATTTGGTAAGGTACAGAATTGCAACAGGCAAGAAATTCACTGTATTTTACAAATTAAAATCAGACATAAGGCTGATATTCACCTATTACAGCCAAAGAAACATGACAATGTAAAGAGTTCATGATTTGAGCCACTTTCAGTATCTTTTCAATTGCATTGACAACATAGCAGTCATTCTATTCCGATTGATTGCAACATTTATCAGACTTAAGCCATTGTTAAAGTTCACTATTTTTAGTGTTGTTATAAATCATCAAAAAGTAGTAGTACATATGCCAGTATTGAATACCTAATGTCTGGGTTATTGCCCTGTCTCTATGTCCCATGATTGTCAAAGTGGAAATTATTATGAAATAATGAAATAGTTCCATGGACCTCTTGTGGTTGATGTTCTGGGTCAGACCCATAGTTTTAAATACTTACTGGTTTTTCATGACTTTTCCAGTTGTGAATATTTGGGTATTACAGATTATTTAGTTTTTAAAATGTGAAATAGAAGGTTGCTGCCTGTGTTCTCCTTTAGGATTTTGATGGACTCCTGTCTCACATTTAGGTCTTTCAACCATTTGGAGTCTATTTTTGTGTGTGGTGTAAGGAAATGGTCCAGTTTCATTCTTCTGCATGTGGCTATCCAATTTTCCCAACACCATTTGTTGAAGAGACTGTCTTTTTTTCCATTGGACCTTCTTTCCTGCTTTGTCAAAGATGAGTTGACCATAGAGTTGAGGGTCCATTTCTGGGCTCTCTATTCTGTTCCATTGATCTATGTGTCTGTTTCTGTGCCAGTACCATACTGTCTTGATGATGACAGCTTTGTAATAGAGCTGGAAGTCTGGAATTGTGATGCCACCATGTATAGTGATTAATATAACATAATAAAATAAATAAGTAAATAAATAAACAAAAATAAAAAAAAATGTGAAACAGGTGCCTGGGTGGCTCAGTCAGTTGAGCATCCACATCCAATTCTTGGATTCAGCTCAGATCATGATCTCGGGGTTGTGGGATCAAACCCCACATCAGGCTCTGTGCTGGGCGTGGAGCCTGCTTAAGATTCACTCTCTCCCTCTCTAAAAAATTAAGATGTGAAACATTTTGCCATAGAAACAATAGTTTAAGTGGGCACTGGGTTTCTATACCCCTACAGTTCTTACTTATCCCGCATATAACTAGAACATGGTATAAATAGCCAGAACTTTAGTCCTGGATCTTGGGAGCAGTGACCTTTTGAGATAAAAAGGAAGGGAAAAAAATAGTTATACCAAGCCCATGGCTTAGGTAAACTATGTTTTCCACCCTCCTTAGTGTATCTAACATTACCTCCTTTCTCCCTCTTTCAGACAAAATTCCTCTTTATTGGTCTGGATTAAGTAGTGGGGCTATTGTCCATGGGCCACTGGTGCGTTTGAAGTTCGTCATGGCGTACAGAGCATTGAACATTTGATTTGCTTTATTTGTGAAGCAGACAATATTATCCCCATTTTACTCCTATGGGGAGGCCCACCCAGAAAAGTTATATGAGTGACTTGCTTCATGTCCAGTGGCTCATAGCGGTAGAGCCAGACCCTCTCTGTTGCATCCACCAAGTGAAGTAACACATCCTGTAGGTGTTTTTTTTTTTTTTTTAATCCTTAAATTTCAGATTACTCAAGTATTCCTTACTCTGAGGCTTCAGAAGAAAGAATATTCAAAGAAGTCTAATTGTTCGGTGATTATTTTCTGGGTTCTTGCAAATTTTTTAAGCTCCCAGAAAATGTATGCACATTTTTGTGAGCCTTTTTCTAGAGAGTATAAAATAGCTCCTAACAGATGTTCAAAGTCTGTAAACCAAAAGAACCTCTGCTTTGCTTTATTTCTATATCATCTTAATAGCAGAATACTACTTACTTTATAGGTTTTAGAAGCATCTTATTCTATATTTCATGTTGTAAAGTGTATGCGTGTGGGACTTTTATATTGGCTAGGAGTCAGTTTTAATGATTGGATGTTCCATCTTTACTCATATGTTTTGTGTTTTCTAAACTTTGAAAAACAGGAACACAGCCTATTGGTTCCCTAGGCTCAATCTCTCCTAGTAGTTATGGAAGCGTGAAAGATTTGTGCCCTGCAAAGTTTGGCTTCAAACATTTTCTTCATCTTATTCCTAATGAAGCAACTATCTGCAGCTTGCTGCTCTGCAGCAGAAACGACACCGCTTGGAATGAGCTGAAGGTAGGTCACAGACTCTGAATTCCATTATTTAGGGGCTGAGGCCGCAGTTAAATAGACACAGTAGAATTTGTGTGAGCCATGTATTTTGTTTTTCATAACTTTCCCAGGTGATTTAGAAAGCAAAAACAACAAAACTGACAGAATTAAAGTCCCAAGTAAGCAGATTTACTTGCCTGTGATATTACACAGTAGAATCGGCGAGCACTACCAGTTATTTCTGGTACTTACATGCAATCTAAAAGTCCTTGACATGTGAACTTTTCTTAGCAATTAACTTGAACTGTGTACTCTTTGATGCTAATGTGTATGAATAATTCACTGAGAAAAATGAATTCCCCAGCCATACCCGTCATCCACCTCTTGATAGAGTTTGTCTTCTACCAGCAATAACACGTGCAACTTATTTAAGAGAAGTGATAACCTATGGTATTGGTCACGAACTTAAAGATTATATATACTCAAGGATATATCCTTGATAAATATGAAAGGTCTCTGTGTTTTTCTTTTTATTACTACTGGGTTGTAGCTGTTACTACTTCCATAGCAACTTGCAAGAAATTCTATAGCATGTATACAGCTAATTTATTTAGACTAAAATAATTTTTTTTAGTAGAAATACTAGCAAACCTTGCTGACCCAGTTATTTTGAGGCCATCCATTTGTGAATCTCAGTCTGAAGAGCTAAGTGCATATGAAAGGTGATATTAATCTGGTCCCTGGAAACAAACATCTGGCTAAAATATTTTTCTTTAATCTCTAATCTTTATTGTTCGAAAATGTATTCATTACATTACAACCTTGGCAACACAAGCTTTGTTCTTTTGCAATTAAAATCCAGCTCTTTGAGTCTAGTATCTAAGTTCCCTTGAAAACATGGTTATATTTCTTTGTGAATCTCATGTCAATGTCTGATTCTGATGATTCGCCTCTTTTTTAGCTCACATGTCAAACCGCACTGCATGTTCTG